TTTATTTTTTTTTTTTAAATTTAAAGTGCTAAAGAATGAAAACAATATATATACATATAGGTTAAACACACATACACACACATACTGCATACACACAGAGAACCCAACTGAGACCCTTTAGGAAATAATGGGTAATTATTAATTGTAAAAGAACAAAATTACAAGTAGTCAGAGCCACACAGAAGAAACAGCTGTCCTTTCTCTGTGTAGTCGGTGCTATTTGTTTAGAAAGTCTATGGTTTCCCCTTCTAAAATAATTTTCCTGTTATGTGTATCTTTTTTCCAGCTTCGATGGAAACCATTTGAGATTCCAAAAACGTCTCAGAAGAAAGTGGACTTTGTGAGTGTAAGTCAACAGCATCCACACCTGCCCTCTGCTCTTTCTTCCCCAGTGAGTGATCCAGCCATCTTCAGGCTGAATGCCAAGCGGAAGCAGACTTAGAGGCAGGCAGCAGAGACAGAACCACCTGCCTCTGTTTTCAGGGCTGGCCGACGGATGTCTTACTTAGGCACCATATGGCCCCTGACACCAAAGGGCACTGGTAAGCTATTTACAACATCTCTGAATGGCCAGTGGAAATTGAGCGTTGACCTACCTGAGGTTTTTTGTTTTTGGCTAGAAAAGGGTTCTTAGCCTTTTCCCCCCCATGGACTCCTTTAATAGTCTGGCAAGTCTTGTATTTTTAAATGCATAAAATAAATTCCATAAAATTACAAAGAAGCTGATTATATTGAAATACAATGATTAACATATTAAAATAACAAATTTGGTTTGGTTTATAGTAACATATATGCTTCCTTATTAATGCACTACATCACAAGATCTATGAAAATATCTAATAACTATGGTTGTTAGATGTATGAACATAAATGATACTCTGGAATAGCCATAATAACTATATTGTGATAGAAAGAACCCATGATTTCTATCAGTGGAAAGGTTACAGGCACTTCTAATATTTCTGTGGGTTTTTGCTTACATTCATATTAATTGAAGCAAATGATACATTTCAGAGATTAGTCAAAATAAATATATAATTTTGTCCCCATCCAAGTTCATGAACTTTCTGAAATGGACCCTTGGGCTCGAATAGCATCAACTCAGGTCGACAACTTTAGTTAATGCAATGCTGGTCACAAGTTCTGCTTGGTAGTTATAAGGGCTGGGAGTATTGGAACACTTGTGCTCAGAGCAAACATTGTAGGGGAGAAGGAAGGGAGCTACAATGAGGAGGGGCTCAAAGAAGCCAGTGGAGGCCTTTGCAGACCAACCTCAGCCAATGGCTTACCTAGGGAGAGTCCAGGTGCCCAGCCATAAGCCAAATTTTCTGGATCATGCAAACTCCTTGTCTATATTCAATGCTCCAAGCTCTGTGTAGACTCATCTAAATAGACCCCAAACTGGCAAACTGAGTTAAAATACAAAAATAAATCCCCCACTGTGGGTGAATTGTGGATATCTGAAGGAGCAGAGCTCCCTCCTTTCAGACCTCTCATCTGCAGGTTGGGGCTGAGAGTTTTGAGAAGACCCAGGTGTTAAGGTTTCTTGGACTGTGGATTATCAGCAGAGAGGATTACAGTTGGTCAGAATGCTTCCACTTTCCTGTTCTGGAAAAAATAGGGCTGACCCTATGTATAAGCACGGGCCTGCCTACGTGGTAAGGTGTATTTGGGGAACACTGATGTGGCAACCTTCCTCCCTAGGCCTCCTAGGTGCCTAGTTTTACCTCCAAAAGAAACTCTCCTCTAGGTTGATCTTAAGCACAAAACTGATAAAATGCCAAGTAAAGTGATCTTAGCCACTGAGACAGTCCAAATCTAGGGCCATGGCTGGCAAATAGGGTGAGCCACCACCTACTAAACATAAACAGTAAATCTTAGGCTCCCCAGAGGCAGGCTGGACCCCAAATGTCTCACTTGTCCCACAGGGCAGACCCTGGTAAAACCTTGCCACATATCTCTCAGGGACCAGTAGGAGGGCTGGCGTCTTGGACAATACTCACATTCACCCCTCCTTCTCCTGTGGTCTCTCCCAGGGCCTGCACACCTTGTGTGGAGCTGGAGACATAAAGTCTAACAATGGGCTTGCCATCCATATTTTCCTGTGTAACACCTCCATGGGGAACAGGTAAGTGGCTCAGTACTGGGGCAGAACATCCCCATTCCCTAAGAGCTATTGGTGAGAGGGTGAAAGCCAGGTTGTTGTTTTATGTTATTGTTTTTTCCCCAGAGCAACATTGATATACATTAATTAATAAAAATAAGTGAGGGCTTCAAACTTGACTGACTCCTGTAACATAAACAAAAATGTCACATAACAATGTAAATAGAAAACAGACGATGGGCATTGGGAAGGTGGAGTAGTCCAAGAGGCATTTTGACTTTAACCAGGTTTGGGTCAGAATATCTCTAATTTCTTCAAGTTCCCCAGGACTGTTTTTGAGGCCAAAGTCATACTGCATGAGAAGCCATTAAGGGCCACAAGTTGGTGGTAGGTCAGGCTGACAGACTTTGGCTTCAGGTAATAATTGTGCAAACTTAACATTCCTCAATAGAGGAGCTTAAATTTTTGAACCAGAAAAATATATAAATGGCATTCTGCCTTTTCTTGGGGAAGCAGAATCTCATGGCAGTTTTGCACTCTACCTCTGGAACCAGAATGTTACATCCAAACCCAATTCCACTCTTCCTAGCTGAGTAATCTTGGGCAAGTCATTTAAATTCTCTGAGCCATGACAAAGCACTGAAGATGTACCTTTGGGTCCAGCCTCACATCATTCCACCTTCTCTCTTTTCACTTGAGCCACAGTAGTCTTCATACAGTTCTTTCAACCTGCCATGTGTTCTCCTGCCTCACAGCATTTATTTGCATGTGCTGTTGTTTCTGTCTGGAATGTTCTCCCCACTCCCCAAACTCTTGCCTAGATAATTCCTCCAAATCTCAGGTCAAATATCTCTTCTTCAGGGAAGCTTTTGCTGACCCCTCCCATTGGAACAGGTTCATTTTTCTTCCATTCTCCTGAACTTGACTTTCATAGTGCCATGACAGTTTATGATGATATTCTATAATTATTTGATTGCTATCTGACTTCCTACTGTAAGCTTCCTGACTGTAAGCTGCATGAGTGCAGAGATTGGGTCATTTTACTCACCAGTTTATACCCAGTACTGAGCCTGGCACATGGTGGGTAGTAAACAATTTTGTGGTGTGAGTTAATTTGTCTGAACATTGTTAAAACTGAAAAATCACAGGAATTATTCTTTATGTTTCAGATGTTTTTACAATTCAGATGGGGACTTCTTGATTGGTAAGTTCTGAAGATTTCACTGTGAACTGGTCCCCAATCACAAGCTACTTTTCTATTTTATACATATTATTTTCCTTTATCCTTCAGTCTGTCTTATGTAGTCCAATCTGCAGACTGAGGTCTAGAGGTCGTTGGTGGTCTGGAACAGATTCCTGGTGTACCTCAAAGCCCCTGCTCTATTCCATAGTCTCTCTGCCTTTGCCTATCTCTGCTGGGCCTTTATAACATGGGAGATCTGGCAACTGAAAGGAAATAAAGAGTAATACCAACCTGTGATTAATTTACTAAGATAACTCTATTTGCCTTCAAACCCACTCAATAATATACCATCTGTTATCGATATCTGCAGTTTAAATAGAAATTTTCATGATGCCATCTAAAACAGAATGTCTGTTAGAGATTTCTTTGGTCTGCCAATTCTATTTGATGGTTTCAGTATTGATATTTTGAAGTCAACATTTTGGTGTAGACATTAGATATGCAAATGCCAGACTCTTGCTGGAACTACCAGAAATGAGTGGTTTTCCATCCCATTTCTGCTGCCCTTTTTGGTCAATCCACAAAACTGTGCGTATACAAACTCTTTTCCTGGCAACCAAGAGTAAACAGAGTCAACTTTTTTCTTTCACTTTCTTCTAGGTAGTAAAATTCCTAACCTAAGTTGTCAGAATATCCATTTCCCTCCATGAGACTCAATAAAGCTCTTTTCTTTTGGAATGAAAAATCAAATGCAGCCCTTAAGCCTTTTGCTCTTCATGAAGTGGTCCTCACATGGGAAGAATTGCTCACTGCTGCCCTGTCTTTTTTGTTAGTTCCCCAGAAAGGGAAACTTCTCATTTACACTGAGTTTGGCAAGATGCTTGTGCAGCCCAATGAGATCTGCGTCATTCAGGTTGGTGATGTGTCCCCTCTCCCTTGCCTCTCCCTAATTTGGGAGCAATCAGATGTTGCAGCTGCTGTTATTTCCAACTCTAAAATTTCTTGGTGGATTGTGTCTAAGCAAGGAGAGGGAGTTTTAGTCATGCAGAAGGCTCTTGTGCAGAAGGGTTAGCAGGCTTGGGTGCCTGGTTTGTTTTAAAATAAGACACCATCACAAAGCAAAGAGCATTGTCAATTTGCTTTCCGAAATACTTATATATACTTTAGACAGGGTTCTGTTCACATGGATTGGGGGAGGGGGTGCAGTGAAGATTAATTTCTTAAAAATGTGGCTATATAAGAGCACTGGGATCTCTGAGTCCAATGAGAGATTAGATTAGAATTGGTTTGGGTCATAGATGTGATTAGGAGTTATACTTTTCCTTTTTTTGTTTGTCTGTTTTGTTTTAAGTAATTATTTACTTATTTTTAATTTTTTAAAAGTTTTTATTTTTGAGAGAGAAAGAGCATGCGCAAGTGGGGGGAGGGGCAGAGAGAAAGGGTCTAAAGCATCTAAAGTGAGCTTCACGTGGACAGCAGAGTCCGATGCCGGGCTCATACTCAGGAATCATGAGGTCATGGTCTGAGCCGAAGGTAGATGCTTAACTGACTGAGCCACCCAGACACCCTAAATTTTTTGTTTTAACTCATCTTTGAGCTGGTCACCTCTCAAACATACCTCAACAGACTATAGCTGTACTTTTTGCATGTGGGGCTGGCTGTGGCTCTGGGGCGTCTTCTTTATAGCTACAGGTATGATTTGGGAGTGCTCACCAGTGTCTGCTTCCCATTCCAGAGAGGAATGCGGTTCAGCATAGATGTCTTCGAGGAGACCAGGGGCTACATCCTGGAGGTCTACGGCGTCCACTTTGAGTTGCCTGACCTAGGACCAATTGGTAAATCTTCACTACAAGCTTTTAGGCTCCCTTGAGAGATAGGACAGATAATCTCATGAGAGTGACACACCCTTCTCCCCTCATTATCTCACTCAAATTTCAACTTTCCTCTCCAGACAACTTCTCTAGACCAAGTGTAGTTGAGAAGTTCAGAAACCTATTAGAACTCCCTAAGCAACCCCAAATATTTTTTTCAGACCTCTAAGTTCAGGGATTCAGTGTCATGGCCGACCCAACTGATGAAATAAAATCATTAATTAGTTCATCGGTATATCAATCCATCAGCTAGTCTTGGCTCTTGTGTTGTGCTGAGGGTACTGACAGGAATCTCATTAAGGGTAACACAAGCCTTTTCCCATAAAATACATACATAAAAGTGAACAACCAAAGCCAACATGTTCTAAATCTCTCTCTCTAGAGTAGTATATAGACCGTTGAAGAGCAGACAATGTAAAATAGATTTCTGGCTATACAGTGTATATCCTGAAGGATGTAGAAGTTTGGGTTACTGGGGGGCCAAGTCACCAGGAACAGCTTTACAGAAGACATGAGATTTGATTAATCCTTGACGAAGAGTTGAGGAAAAATAAAAGGAAAGGGAACAGCTTAAGCAAAAACATACGTGTGGGAATGAGCTTTGTGAATAGGAGGGAGATCATCTTCTTAAGTCAAGAGGGTGTGTGTAGACGATAAAGTAGAGAAAAGCTATAACAAGGGCTATACTCCTATGGAAAGGGGACACAGGCTGAAGTGCGGATAGTCTACAAACTTCACATTCCTACTCATCACATTCCACAAAATCTACACAGTTAACTCAGAGCTATGAAGGAGCTAGAAACCACAGCCTCTATGAGGCAGATTAAAACTTTCAAAAGTGAATCAAGGTCCCCACCCCCGATTCTTCTGGCAAACTGGAGGCAGAAGATGCAGGAGAGAAGTGAAGGTGGTAGGAGTTGTTCTCAAAACATCTCTTGGAGTGAAAGGAGTGGCTTGGAAAATGGGCCCTTGGTTTCATCTTTGGCATGTTTGCTGAAGGTGGTGGCCACACCTCCCAGTTCTTCCTTTCCTTGTCAACAGCTTTTTTAGAGCAAAACAGGCCAGGCCAGCATGTGCCTTCTGGTCACTCCCCTGGGGAGATCCAAATAGTCAGAGGAAGGTGGGAGGCAGCAGAGAGGCAGCTGGAGCCACGGTGGGCCGTCTGTCATCCTGCTCACCACCCGCTCTTCCCACTTCAGTCTGGCTTCCTGCTGCTCTACAGCCAGCATAGCCTCCAGGTTCCATGGAACACTTACCCTCTGGAAAATATATATAATTTACTAACCAGCTGGGGGCTTATATTTTTTAACCCCAGGAGCTGGAAATGATAAAACACTCCCCAGGTCTCTCCTCTCAGAGTTAAATTATGTTTTTGCACTTATACTTTTTATTTTTGGTCTTTTGATTTATTTTCCTTCTCTGGAGGGAACACTCGGTCCTAAGCAAAGGTAAGCAGGCAAGTCCTGAATACTTTTGTCCTGAGTGGCAGACAGATTTGTCAGGCTGGAGAGCAATTCTGCAGATTGATTCTGAGTTCTGTCTGAGGAGCAGAGGCATGCCTGGGGCAACAGTATGTAACCCTTCCTTTTTGAGATCAAGGACTGTAGATGAGTTCTAGAATCATCATGGTTTTCTTAACAGAGAAGTTCTAGTATTCTACCAGACCTTCCCTTTGCCTCTTTTCTAGCCTCATCCTCTCCCCTCACCTGCAGTGATGCGGTAATGCCTGTAACATGGTTGATAAGCCATACTTACTCTACAACTTTAGGAGGTGATGCTGGTGATGATGATGATGATGATGATGATGATGATTTTCATGATTCTTTTTACTAATCATGTTTCCTAATCTTTTTCCTAATCCTTTACCTTCCTTTTAGGAGGTAAAAGGTAAAAAGGATTCCAATGAGCATTTGGACAATGAAAACAAATTATGGAATGGCTTTTGACATGGAAGAGAGCCCTTTCTCTTTGTGCAACTGTAGGCATCTTTCCTATATGATTTCACAAGTGTCTAAAAGACTTTTGGGTTGCTGTGTTCTAGGAGCTAATGGCCTGGCCAATCCTCGTGATTTTTTGATACCCGTTGCCTGGTATGAAGATCGCCAAGTGCCAGGTGGCTACACTGTGATTAATAAATACCAGGGCAAGCTATTTGCTGCCAAACAGGTAAAGTAAGAGGATGATTGGAAGACAGGAAGGGAATATTAAGCACCTACTGATTGCTAAGGCCAGTGTTAAGTACTCGACATATATTCTTTAATCTTTATAAGTACTTGACATATATTATATTCTTTAATCTTTACCATACCACTAAGTAATTACAAATAAGGTACTATTTGTCTCATTTATAGTCATGAAAAGGGAATTACAAATAATTTGCCAAATGCCATAGTAAATGGCAGAACAAGCATTAGTACCTATATCTCTTTGACTCCAAAGGTCATGCTCTTTCTACTCACCAAGCAATAAAAATCCTGGCAATATAGTAGATCTCTATAAATGGTGTATAAAATATAATATACAGGCAGGATAGTTTGTTCTGAAAAGGGAAATGAGTAAACAAGCAGGTCACCCAATATTTATATTATCAATGGCCACCATATTTCAAATACAAGCCATGACTGATACAAAACAAGTAGAACTCAGTTCATTAGCTTGACTTAGTTTATACCAACAGCCTTGTAAACTCAAAGACAAGCAAAGACTTATCCCTTATTAGGGATATATTAACAAATAATAACAATATGTAACCTATAATATATCAGATATATTATATTATTACTTAGTATATGGAATATATATTAGCAGAAAGTAATCATATAAACAAAGCAATCCAAAGATTTCTTCTGTTTACCATTATCTATTAGCATTATTTTTGCCCATTTGACATATTGCTTATATTTTTCAAGGCATATTATTTTTCTTGGACAGCATCTAGAGGGTATGCTAACCAGCAGAGGCCAACTAGTTTGGCACTTAAAATTAACCCCTGAGAGTTAATTGCCTGCCTTATTGACACATTGTCACCTTCATATTGTCTGGGTCAGGATTTCTCAGAATGTGGTTCAGAGATCATTTGCATCAGAAATTCTGAGGGAGGCTTGTTTAAAATGCAGGTTCTTTGATGTTACTCCAGCCTAGCAAAAATGATAACTTCTGGGAATGGAGTGTGGAAACCTTCAGTCATTTTAAGCATGCTCCCCATATTATTTTTGACATACAGTTGAGAGAGAGCCATCATTCTAGAGGCAGCCAGCAGCTCCATGGGTTTCCACTTCCCAAGTGAACTCTGTGCTGGTTATTCCTTGTGTGACCTCCTACATTGATCCATTATCCCTTCTCTGCCACGGTCTGTCACCTGAGAGCTTGACCTATATGGGCTCCCTAGGCTTTTGGTTAGGTTCAACCTGTGAGAGGTACTCACAGGAAATTGGAGGGCAGGAGGAAAGACAAGTTGGGGTTTTTCTTCCCCTGCTTCTTCCCTAGTTGGGACTTCATCCCTCCATGATCTCAGCTCCTGTTGGGTAGCCTCAGTGGTGTGCTGAAACCAGTTCATACTGGCATGAAAGAGCTAATATACACATTCTTCCCAGCTTTGTGTTTGTTCAGCAACATCACGTTAGTAGATGAAAAAATGATCATGGTGAGAGTATTTATACCCCAGAAATTAGCAAATGCTATAAAACAGAGCTTTTTAATTTTTTCCAGAGAGGCAGTTGTTAAATATATACCACCACACCACTGAACAGCCCCTTCTTCATGGTTCTAGCTCTTGCTTGAATCCTATAACAGCATTTTCTTCCCATATCCCTCAGGCCTAGGAATGGCAATATCTTCCCACTGTTGCTAGACTCAGAAACCTCACCATCTCTAGTCAGTTCACTTAACTCTAATCATATCTGTCTGAGTAGTCCCTTCAGTAAAGTCTTTAGAACATTCTGAATTTGGTTCCGTTTCCAGAACAGATGCATAACTACAATGGGGACTACCTTCCTGTAACAGAGCACTGATCCTCTCCTACCCCAGGGCAGGCCCAGGAAGCATCACCTTAGGATTGTTCTGGAAACTCAAGTCCTTGAGTCCTAAGGGAACTCTTAGATCCCTTCTCACCCTCCTGCACTTACCAACCCAGGCACTGTGTGTACCAGAAGCTCCTCTAGACAGCAATTACCTGGAGAGCAGTCACAGCAAGTGCACCGGGAAACCCAGACGGTGGCCCAGATTGTCTGAGAATTGCTGACATTCGCAGATTCTCACAACTGTGTTAAAAATTGTTGAAAAGGCACTACTTGGAGAATGCATTGTGCTTCTGCTGCACATGTGATCTGAGGCAGCTGCAGCTTATGAACTGGAAAAATAGGGTTAGTGGCTTAGCAAGGGACAGTCTGTAGGCACGTGAAGCAACCACAACATGATTCAGGGTTATACTTCTCCCAAAGGATTGTATTATTAGATTATGTGAACAAAATCAAATCAGGAGAGACAGTGATGCCAAATACAAACTGTGGAATCACAGCTACAAAAGCATTAAGTACTAAGATCACCCTTTCCTGCTTTTTTTGTGTTTGTGTGATCAGGATGTCTCCCCATTTAACGTTGTGGCCTGGCACGGGAACTACACCCCCTACAAGTACAACCTGGAGAACTTCATGGTCATTAATTCAGTGGCCTTTGACCACGCAGTAAGTCTGAACCATGGAGGGGCCTGGAGATAGGGTAGCCCTTGGATGGGAGGGGTCCATAGTAGTCCCCTGACGTTCACAGATTTAATGTTTCCAGTGTCACCCTTGGAAGGCCACGATATAGTCATTCATCATTATGCTGACAGGAATTTGAATCATCTACAGCAAGGCTTTGGTGAAGGAGTAAATAACAAGCTAGTGGGAGAGCCAAGCCTTCCATGTAACACTCACCCTTGAACACAGCCCGGTTCTCACACAGAGGATCACA